CTCTTTCCCAGGAGCAGATCCCCTGCATCCTTCCAAGAGGAGCTTTTACTCCTATGCTCTAATGACCAAGAATGATGCTTAATCGATAATGAGCTGCATTTCCCAGGAACAAGTGGCTTAGCATTAGTGAGCTTGGCCGTGCTTATATCCCTGATCCTTCTAGCTGGACCGCTTTGAGTGGCTTATCCTGCACGAGCAGGAGAATGTTGGCCCTGTGTCCTGACCTCACTGAGTAACGATGGGACTTGTGGCAGGACCTACGTTCAAGTTGCAGGTGAGCTGTCTTTTCCAAGACTAGCCCTAAAATAAGGAGCACAAGTGTGCATCTCTCCTTGCTCCTTGGCCAAGCTCAGCCAACAGCACCATGAGTGGTGATGCATGAGTGTGCCGTGATAAAGGCTTCCAGCTCTGCTTCAGTCATTTAAAGAATCTTGCCATCTTTAATCTTTAGCTTCCTTTTCTAATAAGTGTATGTGTTTACCCTTCCTTTCAGAAATAAATCATGGCTTTGGAAGATCTTTCTTCTGTAACCCACTGTATCCCAGGCTCTCATTCTTTTTCCCATTTTGATACTTCTCAATGGGACTTGTGGCAGGACCTAGTTCCGTTTCTATTTTGATAACTTCAGCTTTTTAACAAAATGTTTCTAATTGGAATGGGGGGAGGGTAAAAAGAGGTGGAATAGGGTTGTCTGGTTTGATCATATTTGTGATTTTAAAAAAGAGCTTAAAAGAAAATATCTTCTACCCATTCGAGTATTACACAAAGAAAAATGTAAATATGTGAAACTGAAATAAATGTCATATTACCTACCCGCCAAATTAAGCGGTCATCTAGAGGATGAGTATTGTAACATCCCATTTGGAAAAAGTAGACTTTATAGAACAAACTCAGTGGGCTCGCGTTCTTCCGTCCTCATGTTCCCTCCACCCCAGATAGTGCGCGCGTGTGCACACACACACACATGCATACACACGCGCGCACACACGCACACACACACATGTACGCGCACACACATGCACACACTCGCACGTGCACACACTCACACGCACGCACACACACACGCACACACACACACACGCACCTGCTATTTCCCACCAAGGAAGATAAACACTGGTGACACAATCAACATCCTCTGACGGCACTTCACTACAACACTTGCCTTGCAGTGAAGCACCTGGGCCTAGAAATACCGAAAGACCCAGTTCCCAGAAACGTCACAGATTCCCTTCCACACTTTCTTTATTGTTTCGCAGGTCTCTTTTGTTTTCGTTAAATGATATTTTTAAAATTTGAGAATACATTTTGGAAAAAAAAAGTCTTGGATTTTGTTTCATGCTGAAATTTACATAGGCTATGACATTGGAGTTCTCAGTAAAAACTCCTAATATTTTATATCTGCCCCATGCATCCTACTTACCCATATCAGTCCCAGGCCCTGCTTTATTCAAACTGTTTATTTCTGGGGTGAAAACATTAAGACCATCTTTTTGAAACAAGAGGACTTTCCAAAGACGTGAAATAAGGAGGGTTGACGGGAGTCTAAGTCATGGGAATATGATTTTTAATTACTTTGATATTAAGAATATCAATATTCTCAACAGAAGAAGTCATATATAAGTAGGAAGACATTCAACAAGAAGTATATGACAGAGGATTAATTTCAAATGAAAGGATAAATGGAGAAGTGAGCATAGCAGAAAAGAGCTAGCAATTCAAGTAGACCGCAAGATGCAAATGAGTAGGCAGCACAGGAGAATGTCACTAGGAGAAAAAGTACAGTACGGGCTTTCGGTGCCAGGCGAGTACAGTGACAATCCGTAGTGAGGGAGACTCGGACAACCGGGATCCAGATGTGGTCCTTCTTCAATGATGTGCATTACTCTTACGTGCTCAGAGCAGCTGTCTCAGCTGCTGGCCCATAATTAATTTTGATCAGTCCATAATACATTTACTGTAAAAGAGCCTTGCTCCTTAATATACATTTTAAAAATTGAGTCTTAACATTAAGACGGGGAATTATATCCCAGTACATAGTCAATGTAATTTGTGTGTTGTACCAATGAAACCTTTGAATACATGTTTTGTGTTTTTTCAATAATTAAAAGTATATAATACACATAATTTTAAACGGTTTTTGTAGAGAATTTAGATATGTATCAGACTGTAGTATATAGTAGCTTAGTGGTTGAAAAACGTTGTGTACAATTCTGGCCATCAGTGCTTTTAGAAGGATATGCAGAAATGAGAAAAGAGTCCAAGAAAAATACCAAAAGTGATTAAAATCATGGAAAACAAGTCCAACAATAAGAAGTTTTAGTACCTTGAAAAGCAAGGCTAAATGATAATCACCGCCATTATTATGTTCAAGAAGGGTTTTCTACAAGGGACATGCTGTTCCACTATTCACTTGAATAGGTGAACTGAATTAAAGTAAACAGACATAAATGAACTTAAGAGAGTCTAATTGTTTCGACGGAATAAAATGTACAAGTTGAATAATGAAGCGCAGTTGAATAATGAAATCTCAGGTAAACGTCTAGTCTCCATCTGGAAATTTCCCATGAGAATACACGATCATCTCTGTCCTTTGATTTTGCCATCCACGTGCCTAAAAGCAGATGGCTCTGTTCTGCCTGGCAATCTTGGGAGCCTGTAGATGCAGAGAGATGCCTCTGGCTGAGAAAATTCAAGTGTCATACCAAGTATTGCTAACAAAGAATATATGCCTGAGAGTATTCCTGGTGGCCCATGAGGTTGAGTTCCAAAATTATGCTCTCTTTTTAGGATTGGAAGGGGAGTCACGTGACTCACAGCTTTCAGTGACTTGGATGTGAAATAGGCTTTGATCATCCAATCTCATGACTTATAATTGTGCCTTTCCAGAAATTAGAGAAGAAACGGTCCCATTTGGGAAGCTGGAAAGGGGAACAGAACACAAAAAGTGAGTGAGCAGCTGCGTGTTGGTCCAAGGTCTCTAATCTCTGGGCACATCTACATCTACAGGCCGGTTAGATCTTCTCTAAGCCCAGACTACAGCCAGGACCTAAACGATCTTGGGATCACATGAGCCTACCCTACAGTCATAACCTGCTTCCTATTCAAATCAAGGTATGAATTTTATTAAAATCCTCAAGGAGTAGGATTTCATACTTCATCACCTGAATCTCCACTTTCATCTGGTACTACCTCCTCCTACCCAGTAAGGAAACTTGGTTAATATACGGTAGAAAAAAGTTAACATAATAGGCCTGAGACTGCTATCCCTGAAAATTCTGTTTGCAAGTTGGGCCTTGAATGACATATGAGAATTTGGATTTGGGGAGAGTTCTAATTGGTAAGAGTGGCTCACTGTGCCTCAACCGTTTGTACAAACCACGTGGTTTATGCTGAACACCTCTTTCTCCTCTGGGAGTCTGGAATTTTGGTTCATGCTAAGCAGAGGGTCCCTATGTGACTGGCCCCCAGGAAAAATCTCAGAAACTGAGTCTCTCATGAGCTTCCTGGTAGACGACATCCCACACGTGTTGTCACGATTCCGTGTTGGAGGAAGTAAGCACATCCCGGTGACCATGTGAGGAGATTATTGCAAGCTCGTTCCTGGCTTCCTCTGGACTTTGCCCCATGTGCCTTTTCCCTTCGCTGACTGTACTTTGTGTCCTTTTCATCATTTATTTATTTATTTATTTTTAATTAATTGTTTATGGTGACATTGGTTAACGAAATCCAATAAGTTTCAGCTATACACTTTAACAGTAAGGCATAAATATTTACACTGTGTGTTCACCTCCCATAGTTAGATTTCTTTCTGTCACCACGTATTTGACCTCCTTTAATCCGTTTACCTCCCCCTGCCCCCATCTCCTACCCTCTGGTAACCACTAGACTATTGTCCATGTCCTTGAGTCTCTGTTTGTTTGTCCTGTTCATTTGTTGCCTTTAGGTTTATGTCTCATATATAAGTGATATCATATGATTTTCAACTTTTTCTGTCTGGCTTAATTCGCTTAGCATGATTATCTCGAGGTCCATCCATGTTGTCGCAAATGGCAGTATTTCATCTCTTCTTATGGCTGAGTAATATTCCGTTGTATATATGTACCACTGCTTCTTTAGCCAATCATCTATCGTAGGACACTTCAGTTGCTTCCACGTCCTGGCCACTGTGAATAGTGCTGCTATGAACATCGGTGTGCATAGATCTTTTCGGATATGGGTTTTCAAGTCTTTGGGGTAAATACCCAGTAGAGGGATTGCTGGATCATATGGTAGATCAATTCTTAGTTTTTTGAGGAAACTCCATACTGTTTTCCGTAGTGGCTGTACCAATCTGCAGTCCCACCAGCATGTATGAGGGTTTCTTTTTCCTCCGTATCCTCTCCAACACTTGTTATTGCTTGTCCTGTTGATTATACCTATTCTAATAGGTATGAGATGGTCTCTCATTGTGATTTTGATTTGCATTTCTCTAATAGCTAGCGATGTTGAACATCTTTTCATATATTTGTTGGCTATTTGTATGTCTTCTAGGCAGAAGTGTCTGTTTAGGTCCTCTGCCCATTTTTTGATTGGATCATTGTTTTTTTGTTGTTATTAAGTTCTATGAGTTCTTTGTACATTTTGGATATTAGGCCCTTAGTGGAGACGTTGCTTGCAAATATATTTTCCCATTTGGATGGTTGTCTCTTTACCTTGTTGATGGTTTCTTTTGCTGTGCAGAAGCTTTTTAGTTTAATGTAGTCCCATTCATTTATTTTTGTCTTTATTTCCCTCGCCTTTGAGGTCAAATTTATAAAATCCTCTTTAAGTCCAAGGTCCTTGAGTTTGGTTCCTATGTTTTCTTCTATTCATTTTATTGTTTCAGGTCTTATGCTTTGTTTCCTTTTGCTGTACTATGTCATAGCCATGAGTACCTCTATATCCTGAGTCCCACAAGTCCTCCTAGAGGCTC